ACAGGAATAGGAAATTTTTAAATGCAAAATTTCAATTATCTTTAAATGATCCTACAAGATTATCCACTGACACAAAACTCTTAGGATGCATTTTGTGGAGATTCTATACAGCTACTGGAAACTTACATTACCCAAAGAATGACATATGTTGATTCTCTTTAAGAAATTACAGAGAATGTCTATAAGACATTAAGAAATCATATTTTATAGTGAAAATAGTGGTTATTTTTCTTCTTTAAACTTTTCTAAATTTATCAAACTACCACCAACACCACCAAAAAGTCATCAAGACAACCAACAAAGACAACTGGTTTTTAGCTGATTTTTTAGAAAAAAATTTTTAGCTTCTGTTCTAATAAAAAAAAAGAATCCTAAACTAAAAATTATATGAAGGCCAGTAATGATGTAGTTATTAATGAAATATAGTTGGTCAGATAGATACCAAATCAAATAATTAACCTGTTTTTATTTTCAAATCCTTCAGTTAAAAGACAGATTTATTCAGAGCAGTGCTAGCAAAGAAAAAAAGTCAAATGTTTCTTGAGTCTACCATGACAGAAAAGCCAAATTTGAAAGACTGATTAAATCTTGAACCATGATGTCGGTATAATCTAGAGCCATGATTTTTAAAAGCAAACAAACAAAAAACTAAAAACAAGGTAATTACTATAAAATTTTCCTACATTGTAGAACCACAGTTGCTCTGGCTGGTGTGGCTCAGTGGACTGAGTGTCAGCCTGCTAACCGAAAGGTCACTGGTTCAATTCCCAGTCAAGGCACATGCCTAGGTTGTGGCCAGATCCCTGGTTGGGGGTGTTCAGGAGGCAACCACACATTGATGTTTCTCTCCCTCTTTCTCTCTCCTGTCCTTTCTCTCTAAAAATAAATAAATGAAATCTTAAAAAAAAAAATAACCACAGTTGATCCAAGTAGACTATACAGTTCTACTGCAGTTAACTGGTATGTTCATGATAGATACATGTACTTTTTTCTTGACACTAAAAAAGCCCACTAGAAGTGAATGGATTAGGAAAAATGTTTCTGGTATGAGAATAATGTTAAGTATTTCTTAACCAGTGTGCTGAAATAATCACTGCCTGCTTTACCACCTAGTTCAGTAAATTAAAAATCTTTCTTCAGCTCTCCAAAAAAAACAAAGAAAAAAGAAAACAGCCCTGGCTGGTATAGCCAGAGTTGAGCACCTGCCTGTGAATCAAAAGGATGCTGGTTCAAGTCCCAGCCAGGGCACAAGCCTGGGTTAGGAGCCAGGTCCCAAGTTGGGGGCGTGCAAGAGGCAACTGATGGATGTTTCATTCACACATCAATGTTTCTCTCCCTCCCTTCCCTTCTCTCTAAAAAGAAAAGAAAGCTCTGACTTTCCATCTGTTTTTCCACTGTTCAGATTCCATTTCCAGTGGCTTTTTGTTTTTGTTTGTACTTGAAATTCAAATGAGTCAGTTACTCATTTGCCAGATGTAATCACTTTTAAAAAAAATATTTTTCTGACTCTCCCAAATCAGAAAAATAACACTGAAAGTATTCAAAGGGATAGCTTAAAATTTAATCGGCGATTGATATATATATATACTTAAGATTGTATTTATTTATTTATTTTTAGAGAGAGGGGAAGGGGGTAGAAAGAAAGGCAGAGAAACATCAATGCATGGTTGCTTCTCACATGCCCCCTACTGGGGACCTGGCTCACAACGCAGGAATTTGCTCTAGCTCAGAATTAAACCAGCAACCCCTCCATTCACAGGCTGGTGGTCAATCCACTGAGTCACACCAGCCGGAGCAGCGATTGGTATATTTTTTATTCTCCTCACTCCAAAACCAAAAGCTTACAACTTGAAGATCATAAGGTAAAAGCATTCAGTAATAAAGCTACCAACGGGTAATCTTGTGCCAACAAATACAGATCTAAAATGCTGTTCTCTCTGAGAGAACCAAACCTTTTCTTTTGGTTCGCAGGCCCGCACTCAATCCACTGAGCTACACTAGCCGGGGCTCAAACTTTTTCTTTTGTCAAAAACCCATCATGGAATCATGAAAGGTACCCACCCATTAAAAATTTTAATTTAAGAGAAAACATAACACTTTAAAGTTTAGAACAAGGTGTTAAAGTAAATGGATCCATGTTGAGGTGATAAAAATAAGAATTTCTTTCCTTCTTTTCTCTATTTGCCATCTTTTCTTCAACTGCTTTTATAACAAAGTTCATTAAAGACCAAAGAAACTGAAGTCAGGCTGCTAAAAATTCTCTTGCTAGTTGCCCTGGTGACCTTCCATAATAAAATACCCATCACCTCCTCTCACCTCAATTTTCACTAATGCTTTTCCAACAGTTTTCCCAAAACTCCTACATTATTTTACTAGGCACAATATAGAGTATAAATACAGCAGGCCAAGTACTGGTATACTTGATGCCAGAAAAAATATAAACATGATTTCTGGGTTTAGTTCTGCTGAGGTCATTCATCAGAGAACTCCAAGGAAGGATGATTTGGCACTCTATCTACTTAAGAATTACTACTCCTTGCCATTTATTCTTCCTACTCTCCCCTAGAAAAGTCCTCCTCACTCCCTCTGCTTCTCTAAAACTACTCCTAATAATCCCCTAACAAGTCTCTTTTCTATAGTCTTCCTTAACCCAACCATAACTCTCTATCCTCCTTTGAAATTTTGTTCCTCCCTAATCCATGGCGGATACCTGGAATTTGCTGTATCTCCTGGTATTTGACATACCTACAACCTATTTTCTATACCCCATTATTAGCCCCTTGAGAGAAGGGATTATGGTACATTCCTAAACCCTACCATTACTAGAATGTCTTACAAGATAATGATGTACACCATCTAGTGTGCTTACAGTTTTCCAAATTCCTTTACATATATTGAACCTCACAACTACCCCATAGGAATGACTCCTACTATCCTATTTTTACTTATCTTTTAAATGCCTTGAAGTTTTTTTTTTTGCCAGATGTAATCACTTTTTAAAAAAAACACTTATTGTACTTTTTCCATTACCATTTAGTCCCCTTTTACTTCCCCCATTATCCTATTTTTCAAAAACATAAACAAATTCAGAGGCTAAATAATCTGTCATTGTTGTGTTAAATTAATCTTCAAAATCTACTTACAGCATTAAATATGTGTAGCAAATATAAGAAACTTCCTGAACAAAAGAGGTTTATACAAACCTCCAGAAAGTGACCAATCCATGTACTTTATTGTTGCCAGGAAAATTAAGGACCTCAAGTTCAACTCTGCCCAACTATGCAAAACAAACTTTGTCCTTGGCACCCTTCATAAAGAAATTTTAAAACTGCCAACATAGCAACTATGGTACTATGAGAACATTACTCTCAATTTCTTAGTTTGTAAAATTTTAATTAAATACTATGGCTTCTGTTTAATACAAAAAGGGGACATTTCGCATAAGACCACAATATTACAAAACCTTAAGTCAGAATGCATTTTGCAAGAGCCATGTGACACACACATGACAGTCAGCTAAACTGATGGGTGGACCTTGTAGGGGAAATGTTTAGTCGACCAAAGCAGCCAATAAGCTCAACTTTGTGTTTTTTTTTTAATCTTCACCAGAGGATATGCTTACTGATACTTAGAGAGAGAGAGAAAGGGAGGGGGGAGAGACACAGAAACACCCATGTGAGAGAGAAACATTGATGAGTTTAATTGCTTCTCATAGGTGCCCCAAACTAGGACGGATCTGCAACTCAGGCATGCATTCTGACCAGGAATCGAACCCAAGACCTTCCAGTTTACAGGACGGTCCAACAAAGTCATGCTGGCCATGGCTAAACTCAACTTTTATAACAAATACTGGTCTGCTTTATTAGAAAAAAACACAACATCAACACCACTCTGTCCCCCAAAGCCTTATAATACTTAAAAGGAACACCAGGCAAATTCCCTTCAATTAATTCATTAATTTATATATGCAAACTGCAGGAGGATTTTTTTTTAAAGGGCCATTAAGAGAACCCAATAAAGTCTTCCCAAGGAAAGTGAACACCAGTTCCCCGGAAAAGTGCCAGGTGTGTCACATCTGCTGTGGTGACTTCTAGAGTAAGCAAGAAAAAGAAATGCATTAACTTTTCATGACACGTCATGGAACCTCATTCCCTATCTGCAAACATTCAAGAAGGTAATACAAAACCTCAGATCATAGGGCCCATTCGTTTCTCTTTCAACTTGACAGCAAAGTCTTCTTTAAATTTAGTAACATCAAAAAGATGTTCTTAAGATTTAGTCTTTTTCTTTCTTGACCTACACAACACAAAATGACTTTAGTGTCCTCTAAAAGAAATTCTCACAAATGCCTAGATTTTTAGGAAGGCAGTGGGTCTGCAGAGTTCTTAAAAAACTCCAAAAAATAACTTTAAAAAGAACTAAAAAATGTAAATCCACTCACTCCCCTCAATCCCACGCAGTCCTGAAAAAACATCCACATTACCTGCAACCTGGGGGAGGGTGGAAACAGAGCCAACAAGCTCAAGATTTACAAGTAAACTGGTCTCCACCCAGACGATTCTGACAGCTCCGCAGAGTGCGGGGGCAGGATTGCCCTCTAGAAGAGCTCTCCCACCCTATCCTCTCCCCTTAAAAACAAGTCCTCCTTCAAAAGTCACTGCCTCCAAGAGAACCTATCCCTTCCCACCGCCTTACCACCAACTCCCAAACGCCCCCATCCTTCTGAGGAGACAGTTCCTCCGCACCGGCCCGGCACTCAGGCCTCCACCCCGACCCGGTCCAGGCCCCGGCGGCTCACCACTCCGACCCAACCCCTGCCCGAGGCCGCCCCTCCAGCGTCAGACAATGGGGCCCGACTCCCAGCCACCAGCCTTTCCTGCCCCATCATCCTTACCTCACCCCGGCCGAAGCCCCCACCCCGGCCCCAGCCCTCCCAGTCCACTTTAAGCTTTCCCAAGCGGGCCCACCGACCCAGCCGACCGGTACGCTCTTGCACTCACTATTCGGGATTCATGCTGGACATGTCACTGCAGCTGCCGCCGCCGCCACCGCCGCCCTTGCTGCTGCAGCCGCCGCCCTGACTCTCCGCGCCACGGGTAATCGGAGAGGAATGAGATAGGCTGTTCCGGGAGAGCAAACGTTCCCTACTCCGTCCCCTTAGAACACAATCAGGAGCAGCCGCCACTCAGCTACCGCTTCCACCCAAAATGGCCGCCGGCGAACCAGGAAATAGGAAAGCCTTAGACCAAGGGGCCTTTACTTAGCCCAGAGGGCGGCCGCACCGCGTGGCACGACGGGAAAGAGTGTTGCTAGCAAGTATGTGGGAGCGGAGACTGACGGTGTGGCGCAGGGATCAGGACTCATCTTCCCGCCAAGCTCCGTGCTTCTGGTGCATGCGTACTGGAGGGGTTTGTCGCCCTCCCCATTCCACACTCTGTCACCGCCCCCTCCGCCTCTCCCAGTTCTCCTCCCCGCTGACTCGCTGGGTAAGACTTCGCTCGGACTCCCCCTAGCGGATTGGCTAAGACCAGGCGGCCCTGGTGACGTCATCAGTGAGACGTGGCACCCGGGCGAGTCAGCGCCCCACGGAGAAGGAGGAGCGGGGAAGGGGGAAGGGAGGGGAGGGGAGGGGAGGGGTAGGAGGCGATCGGTGCTGGCCACGGAAGGAGGATGGGGGTTGGGGGACATCGGGAGACTAGAGTGAACAGAGAGGGGTAGGAACTCAAGGGGCCGCTCTAGTGCGGAGGAGGGAAGAGAGCCAGAGGACACTCCTGGCTGGTCCTGCCTCCCAGTGCGCTTTTTTTTTTTTTTTTTTTGGCCACACTGTCTTGAGACTTAAGCTTTCAGGTTGATCTCAGGACGTCCGCTCTAAGGACGGAAGACGAGTTAAGGGGCCCCTGCTAAAAACTTCGTGTCTGCGGAAAACGTGAAGCCGCTCTTTCAGTTTTTTCCTCACTCGCGTAACCCGACAGGCACTACCATTTTCTTTTTTGTTTTCTTACCATTCCTTTTCAGCCCTGCTCTGATCTCCGCAGGCTGGGTATCGCAGAAGCCTCCCAGTACACTAAACTGCCTCAGTCTCTTCTTTGTTCCAGGCCATTGCACACAGCCAGATTTATCTTCCCGGACCAGCACTTCCACCACACCCCCACAACTTTCCGTGGCTTCACATCCCGTGGCTGGGGCATAGCCCAGGGTCCTGCCCTGGTCTCGGCCTTCAAGTTGAACTGTACTTATTTTTAGTTGTTTAATGCTGAGCTGTTCTACAAGATTGGAAAGTAATAAGCGATAGAAACATGCAATTCGTTACCGTGTAATGTTGAGAAACTCCTGAAGTAGTATTAACACATTTTTTGGTCTTAACAGCTCTCCAGAATCAGCTTGAAAATTGAAATCTCCACTGAACTTTAACACATTATCTCGGGTTACTTAATTTCAAAGGGCATAGTATAATATATTGTCCAAAGTTTATCTTCCAACTTGTTTTAAGAACCATGAAAATTATCTCTCAAGAGTGACTGCAAAGTCACTTTAAATTCCAAAACATAGAAAGAAGGCGGTTCTTATTTCTACCCATTTGCTAACTACCTTAACCCCTAAAGTCAACCATGTGCCTCAGTTGACAATCTCATCAAAGAGTACTCTAGAGTTCCTTCACATATTGGCTAATGAAATGGGTATGGTCACCACACCAGAAGCACCCTGAATGGATCGATGATAGACAGTAAGTGTTTATTACCCTAGACTCCTGTCCTTTCTTGTTTATTGTGATTCACAGAAGAAAAACTCAGAAATCTCTGAAGAACTCACCCAAATTCCAAAATACAATTTTTAATCTGCCCCTCCCCTTAAAGGCATACTCCTAAATTTCCTTGAATAGCGTATTTACTTTCCCAACCAACAAATACCTCCTGTCCCGGCTGGTTTGGCTCAGTGAATTGAGTGCTAGCCTGTGAACCAAGGGATTGCAGGTTTGATTCCCAGTCAGGGTGTATGCCTGGGTTGTGGGGCCAGGTCCCCAGTAGGGGGGGCAAGTGAGAGGCAACCACACATTAATGTTTCTGTCCCTCTCTTCCCCTCTCTAAAATAAATAAAAAATTTAAAAAGAGAAATATCTCCTAATAACTTTTAACCAAAGTGAGAGAGTAGTTGTAAGAATTAAAACAGATTATGAAGCATACTGCACAATGGCCATGGAGTCACTTGGTAAATGTTAATTATCTTTCTCCTTCTCTTCATGTCCCTGGAACTTGTAAGTGTGTTTGCTGTGTGTTGTAATATGCAGAGATCAGAGGCAGCTTAGCTTGGGAGTGGTGGCAGGTTGTTTCCTACAACCCACCACAACTTGTATGTCATTTGTGTTAACACTTCCTCCCCAATTTGTGTCAGTTCTGCTGATTCGAACAATGTTTTTATGTGTAGATGTGTTTAAGAGTGGCTACTTTTATATACTCACATTAATAACTCAGAATGATTCATTAAACTACCATGAGCCCTGTTGGTTGCCATGTTATTAAGTTAGAACTCTTCTAGAGTGGTTTGGCCATTTGTTCTTTGGATCATTCTTTTCTTTCTTTTTCTCCTTTCCTTTTCCTTTTCTTCCCTTTCTCTTTTATCAAATATTTATGACCTGGCACATAACGTGTTTGGAACTTGTGCTTGGAACCATGAGGAATACAAAGGTGAATAATCACCTCTCTCTGTCTGCAAGATTACAACCCAGTGAGAGAAATGTGTGTATACAAAACAAGGCCTACAGGGGAAAATGCAAAAATAAGATTAAATTATATAAGGTGCATAGAGACAGAAATAAGATCAGTGATTACCAAGAACCCGGAGTGGGAGGAGGAAATGTCTGCAAACAGACAGAGGGGAACTTGGTTTAATAGAAATACCGTAGTTATACAAAAATTTTTGACTGCACGGGAGGTTGACACCTCTAACCTCCATGTTGTTCAAGGATCAACTATACTCCATGTCTTCATTATTGTGATGGTTAGTTATACCTCAATTAGGAACCCGACATTCAGAAACTATATGAGGTGGAAATATAGAGGAGGGGAAACAATTCCAGCCGAAATTATTGGGAATGCTTTTCTGAAGGAAATGATATTTGAATTGGGCCTTGAAAGAGATTAAAATTTTGATCATTGGCAAAAATGGGAGAGAGAGAGCCATTATTCTAGGATGACACCAGAATATGGCCATACCCTAGAAATGCAAAGGTACACATGTATTTAAAAAATAGTTCCATGGAAGATGAGGTGGGAGACAGTGAGCTTAAGGTGAGATCGTGAGAGCCCCAAATGCCTGCTGAAGTTTTAACTTTATTCAGTAGCCAAGAGAGTCAAAAGTTCTGAGAAGGGGAGTGAGATGATCAGCTCAGAGTTTTGGAAGTACTTTGGAGGTAGGGAAATTAGTTAAAAGGTAACTAGATTCATTTAGGCAAGAACTGGTATGTCCTGACCTAGAGCAATTGTGTCAAGAATGAAAAGGAGAGGAGATTCCAGAGAGGAGAAGGTAAAATCTGAAGAGGGGACAGGGAGGAGCTAAAACTGCCAGCATGGGAACCAAGGCCCAGCCAAGTGAGAGAACAGGGGAGGAGGGGAGAGAAGTAGGGTAAAAAAAAGGAAGAAGACAGGCAGTGCTGTGCAGTTCTCTAAAGCTGTCCTGGTGTAGAAGTATTAGACTATACTCATGTTCTGCTCAGTGAAAGGATATGTTCTGAGAAATGTGTCTTTCAGTACCTTTGTCATTGCACAAACCGTAGAGTGCTCTTACACAAACCTAGATGGTAGAGCCTACTACACACTTGGCTATACAGTATAGCCTATTACTCCAAGGCTACAAGCCTGCACAGCTTGTTACTGTACAGAGCAACACAAGATTAAGTACAAGAGAAAATGATGGAATCTAGAGGCTTCAGAAACAAAAGATGTATGAGGCTGCTGCCAGCATAACAAGGCATACCATTTTACAATATTTTTTATAAGTAGAAGAGTACACTCTAAAATAACAAAAGGATGGTATAGTAAATACATAAACCAGCAGCAGTCAATTATTATAATTATCAAGTTTTATGTACTGTACGTAACTGTGTATGCTATAGTTTTATAAAGCTGGCAGCTCAGCAGGTTTGTTTACAACAGCATCACCACAAAGTAAACTTGGTGTTGCACTATGACTTCAGACAGCTACAACATCACTAGACTGTAGGAATTTTTCAGCTCCATTATAATCTTATGGGACCATCATCATATATGTGGTCCATCATTGACTAAAACATTCAGTGGTACATTACCAGAAATTGTCCCCCTTCCAAATCAGCACAAAACGCAGAAGACTGGCAAAGACAGAGAAAACCAGACACTAGTTAAAGTAGTAAGAATAGACTTTATTCAGTAATAACTATTGCAATAGGGAAAGGGGCCTAGGGTGAACTGAATTTAATGTCACTAAAACAAAAGGTAGACTTTTTTAAAGCTTTTCAAAGAAAAAGGCATTGAAGGGTATTAAGGGGATTGGTCCATGTGATTAAACCACAGGTTTATTAACTGGCATTTAATTGAAAGACAAACTTTTTTGCATGTTTTTAAAACAACTCATCACAGGCTCTTTTTGTATCTTTTTGACATGAGGTAGTGATACCAGTAAGAGTCCTTGTCTGGGAGTGAGTTATCTTTTGAATGCATTTCAAAAAGAAAGGAAACAGCAATGGATTTGTAACTGCAAGCTTTGAAAAGTAACTGCTTAAAGAAGGGGTTCTGGGGCCAATCTGACTATCACTAAACTTTGGCTGGAACAAACAGTAAATTCTCCAGGCATTTTGGGGCGGGGGGTGGGGAGGTGGCTGGAATTGTCTTAAAGATGTGGCCTTGAGCTGCAGAAACTATCTCGCTGTTTGTTTGTTCAGACCTCTTAGTGTGGGGTAGGGGGACTGAGGGGGGTGGGGGAGGCAGGGGGCAGGAGGATGGGGGAGATGGACAAAATCATTTGTGCTGAGAGCTTTTATAGTTTTTATAGGCCAAGGTTGAAATGTAGCTGAGAACAGGACTCAAAGGAGCCTCACTAATTTATGGTAAAGGAGAGTTTGTCAAAATCTGGATTTAAGATGTTCAATGACTGTGAGCAAGATACCTTTATTGCAGTGGCCCTAAAAACACCAGCACATTTGATCTGCAGATAGTAAGCAGCCATGGTGAAAAATCTTAAGGGAAACTGTCCAGTTGGAAATGTTTTCAGAACTTGAACTTCCCAATCACCATCACCCCCTTCCTCCAGAAACCTCCTCCCTATACCCAACCTTACCCCAAATACTCTCGACACACCTTAAACTCATCCCCACTTCACTTTAA